ATATACCACCTCTTCTTTATCCATTCATCTGTCGATGGACATCTTGGCTCTTTCCACAGTTTGGCTATTGTGGGCATTGCTGCTATAAACATTGGGGTGCACGTATCCCTTCGGATCCCTACATTTGTATCTTTGTGGTAAATACCCAGTAGTGCAATTGCTGGATCGTATGGTAGCTCTATTTTCAACTGTTTGAGGAACCTCCATACTGTTTTCCAGAGTGGTTGCACCAGCTTGCATTCCCACCAACAGTGTAGAAGGGTTCCCCTTTCTCCACATCCCTGCCAACATCTGTCGTCTCCTGACTCGTTAATTTTAGCCATTCTGATGGGTGTGAGGTGGTATCTCGTTGAGGTTTTGATTTGGATTTCCCTGATGCCGAGCGATGTTGAGCACTTTTTCATGTGTCTGTTCCTGCCTGAGTTTTTATTCCCCAACATACCGTCACTCTATTTATTTCATTGTAATCTATTTATCAATAAAGGCTTTTTTCCCCTCAAAAAAAAAAGTGAACAGCTTTTTTTTTCAGCTCAAGATTTTTTCTGAATATTGGAGCTGTGGGGGATCACCTTTTCATTGAACAATGCCTGTTAATTCTCCTAAATCTTTAATGGGTTGTCCCAAATGGGATGCCTCTTCTTTTTTCCAGGGAAAGTTAGGAAACCACGGCTTCACAGCTCTGTTGTGATCTCAGTTAATTTGCTTCTTAGTCTGTCTCCGAATTACTGAAGGAGTTCAACACAGGGCCAATCGGAAAATAGTCTCGTCATGGACATGGAGCGCACCACTTAACGTTTTTCAGCAAAGCCACCAAAGGAGGCAGCATGCCTCAAGCTATTAGCCGCTGGATGTGCTGGTGAGGCCCTGCAGCCACGTTGCTCAAGGCCCAAGCTGCCTCCTTCTGGATGGAGGACTTGGGGTGCATCAGGAGCTGGGGCAGCACGTTCAGCATGCCTGCGTCGATGGCCACCTGGGTCTGGTGATCCGTTCCCGTGACGATGTTCCCCATGGTGCGGAGGGAGGGGGTCAAGACATTGAGCTCTGAGCTGCTCATGAGCTGGACCAGCCTGGGCAGGACCCCCATGTTGACCACTTGGCTGATGCGCTCGTTGGAGCCATCAGTGAGGTAGGACAGGGCCCAGCAGGTGTCTGGGAGAAACTCGCTGTCTTGGTGCTGCAGGAGGTGGGACAGGACGGGCAATATCTGCTTCACGGCTTTCACAGAAGGGTAAGGGTTCTTGTTTCGGCACAAGTTGGACAAGGTCTACGTGATGTTCCGCATAAATGTGATTGGTATGGTTGATGAAACGAGGGCCAGCAGATGTGGAATGGCATTGCTCGAGATAATGAGGTCTCTGAATTCTGGGCCATCACCTGCTATATTACCAAGAGCCCACACTGCCTGTTCACACACACTCCCCTCTAGCCACCCCAAAGTTCAGACATCGCTGGCTACCTGAGAGGATGATGATGAAGTTCCAGATCTTGTGGAGAATTTTGATGAAGTTTCCAAGAATGAAGCAAACTGAATTGAGTCAACTTCTTTTTTTTTTTAAAGATTTTGTTAATTTATTTGAGAGAGAGAATGAGATAGAGAGAGAGAGCATGAGAGCGGGGAGGGTCAGAGGGAGAAGCAGGCTCCCCGCTGAGCAGGGAGCCCGATGCCGGACTCGATCCCAGGACTCCAGGATCATGACCTGAGCCGAAGGCAGTGGCTTAACCAACTGAGCCACCCAGGCGCCCCTTGAGTCAACTTCTGAAGAAGATAAAACCTGAAGAACTTACTGGGAGCTGCTATTTTATATTATGACTGCTTTTTAAAATTTTGTTCATGGATCTGATAAAATCTAGATCTCTAATATTTTTAAGCCCAAGCCCCTTGGACATTGCAGCTCTTTTCAGTTTTTGCTTATACACAATTCATTCTTTGCAGCTAATTAAGCTGAAGAAGCCTGGGAATAAAGTTTGAAACAAGGTTAATAAAGTTCTTTGCCTAGGGAAAAAAAAATGAGAATGAGACCCAATTATCTGTTAGGTCATGTCAGCTGGGGTCACACCTTCTGAATACTTGCTCCTTCTTGAAATAGGACATGTGGTTAGAACAACTCTCCTCCCCTCCGCCTGCTTATACTTATGTATAAGTGCTACAAACACACACACACACACACACTTATGCACACCCACCCACACATACCCCCCCATACATACTCATGCTCCGCCCACCCCATCATGCACTCATGTATTTGTGTGTACATGTATTTCTTCTATATTCTCAGCATATGGACAGACCTGCAAGCCTCTGACATAATATGGACCATATCAGACACAGCTTGGATAGTGAACATCTTGACTTCATTTCTGGAACCTTGGACAGCAGGAGCATGCACATTTATCCATCTCTTGCCAAAGTTTGACCCAGTAGTCATTCTAAAGGTAAGACAGGATCCAGTTTGCACCAGAAGGTCAGAGGTAGCCCAAGGTTTGCACACTCCAGTTTATTTCAGTTTCTTTTCAATTCAGCAAATATTTACTAACTCTTGCCACATGGATGGACAGTATTCGGTAAGTAAGATGGAAATGGTCCCTGCCCTCCTTGAGCTCCTGGTCCAGGAAAGGAGAGAGACCCATATACAGATAAAAGTAATATATTTAGGAGGCAGTTATCATTGGCCATTCATTCACTCAAAACATTTAATGGGCTCTTGCTTTGGTGTTGAGTATCAGACTTTTTCCTGTGGAACTTAATGGGACAGCCATTAAATAAAATCTACATGTTACATGACCCTGGAGGAACAAAGCAATGGAAATGGGTTTATTTTGCTTGCACATGCACACCCTGTGTTGGATTCTACAACATGGATGGGGAGTTGGGTCATTGATGTCCTGGGGCCTCCAGGTCTCTGAAGCAGTTGATGGCCCACTCAGACTTCTGTTTGGCTGGCAACAGAGACCCTGGGAGCAGACTGAGGCATGGATGGCATACTTAAAGGTCAAAAGGTCAGTCATGGTCTGGATTCTCTCAAGAGATTCTCTTCAGATGGTTCCGTCATTCTCTGTTTTAAACAAATTTAAACAGAGTAAGTGCCTTCTTCTGAAAAGGATTTGAAGTGGCTTTTATTGTCACAAGTGGAAAACAACAACATGAAAACAGATGTAAAATTGTAAAGCATATTAGGAAAATATAGGATGGAGATGTCAGTGGGTTGAGGGGGTGGGATGAAGGGGAGTAAGGAGAAGTATAGCAAATAAGTAGTCGATTGTTTGTTGAGCTTCCTGTAAGGCAAAGCGATAAGGGAAATGAGAAAATTTTCATCACTTATACCAGTTCATCATGAACACTCAGAGGAGGGACACCTGGGTGGCTCAGTCCATTAAATGTCTGCCTTCGGCTCAGGTCATGATCCGCAGGGTCCTGGGATAGAGTCCCGCATCGGGCTCCTTGCTCAGTGGGGAGCCTGCTTCTCCCTCTGCCCCTCCCCCCACTTGTCCTCATGCTTGCGCGCTCTCTCTCTCTCTGACAAATAAATTTTTTTTTAAAAGGACACTCAGAGGAAATAATTGCGTGATGTGCTAATGTTAATCCTTTTTTTCTAGACATTTTTGCCTGAATCACTCTTTGTAATAAATTATGCACAAAGCAAAACATGGGATGGAGGTGGTGTTGCATCACAGTTAAAAGTATGGGCCAGGGTGCCTGGGTGGCTCAGTTGGTTAAGCGACTGCCTTCGGCTCAGGTCATGATCCTGGAGTCCCGGGATCGAGTCCCGCATTGGGCTCCCTGCTGAGCAGGGAGTCTGCTTCTCCCTCTGACCCTACCCACTCTCATGTACTCTCTCTATCTCATTCTGTCTCTCAAATAAATAAATAAATAAAATATTTAAAAAAAAAAAGTATGGGCCAGAAATGCTGATTCCACTCCCTCCTGGTTGTATGACCTTGGGCAAATTATTTTTTTTTCCTGAGCAGCTCAGTTTTTTATTGTTATGTTAATCACCATACATTACATCATTAGTTTTTGATGTAGTGTTCCATGATTCATTGTTTGTGCATAACACCCAGTGCTCTACACAGAATGTGCCCTCTTTAACACCCATCACCAGGCTAACCCAACCCCCCACCCCCATCCCCTCTAGAACCCTCAGTTTGTTTTTCAGAGTCCATCATCTCTCATGGTTCGTCTCCCCCTTCGACTTACTCCCCTTCATTCTTCCCCTCCTGCTATCTTCTTCTTTTTTTCTTAACATATATTGCATTATTTGTTTCAGAAGTACAGATCTGTGATTCAACAGTCTTGCACAATTCACAGCGCTCACCATAGCACATACCCTCGACCTTGGGCAAATTATTTAACCCTCTGACTCACAGTTTTCCCTTCTTAAAATGTGGGTGATAATACACACTCCATGAGGTTATTGTGAGAATTCAATAAGAAAGCACTGGTCTGACAAGTATTCAGTACTAGCTATTTTTAATAACACTTCTACTGAATTGTTTATAGGCACTTCTGACTTTTTTCTTTAAGATTTATTTATTTATTTGAGAGAGAGAGAGCATGCGTGTGTGACCAGGGGGAGGGGCAAAGGGAGAGGGAGAGAGAGAATCCTCAAGCATACTCCCTGCTGAGTATGGAGCCCAACAAGGGGCTGGATCCGAGGACCCTGAGATCATGACCCGAGCCAAGACCAAGAGTCAGCTGCTTAACTGATTGAGCTACCCAGGTGCCCTGGTGCTTTTAACTTTTCAAAGCACTTTTATACCTGAATTATGTCCCAAAAATAGCTTCAGGAGAATAGGACTGGAATTAATCTGTTAACAAAGCTAGTCCTGGAAGGTTAAGTGACTTAACCAAGACCATACGTCCAATCTGCAACACTGACTGAGCTCCTTCCCTTGGTGACTGGAGGTTTACATAATTCTAGAGGTGTGTTAATGGGGGCGAGTCATTAAAGTGGCAGGAACAGTAAGCCAGGATTTGACAAAAATGTTCCAAATGAGTCCTGGACCCTTTCTCTGTAATGATAGGTGGTTATTTCTTTGTTATTTTTGGCTTGAGGATTTGGCCTGAAATAGACAGAATAAAGAAGGTAAGATTTAAATCCAGAGCCCAGCTCCAGGGCCCATGCTTGCAACCACTGTGCATGCTGCTAAGTTCACCTAACCTGGTGGTTAGTGTCAGCCGGTTCTCTCCCTCTAGGTGCTGTCCAGCTACCCAATCAACAGCATGGTAGGAGCACCCATCGTTTACCGGATGTTGGTACAACAGGATCTTTCTAGGTGATGGGGCTTTGGGGGTTGGTTTGAGCCTCCAGGTTTATTGGTACATCTTCCTGCCTCTACCACATATGTTCATCTCTCTGACCTGTTAAGCATGGGTTGCCCCATGAAGCCTACCTCATCATTAAAGTACCTGGAATCTTCTTTAGGCCTGGACAGAGTTTGGTTCCGGGGAGGCTCCGGGGAGCCTGAGGACATGTGGTTAGAACAACATTTACCTCCCTTCTCTCCTTCAGTTACAAGTTCCCACGTCTCCAAAACTGCTTCAGTGGAGGAGAGACCCTCCTTCCAGACAGTTTGGAGAACTGGAGGGCCCAGACAGGACTGCACATCCGAGAATTCTATGGCCAGACAGAAACGGTACCTGCTCCTAGGGGAACCACGGGTGGTGCACCCGGTGGGCTTCAAAAGGCTCTCTGATAATAAAAATATGAACCACTACTTATTCATGCACTTATTCAATAAATATTTATTGAGCCCCTGCTGTGGAATAGGTATTGACAATTGAACAGAAACAAAGTAGCTAGGGCTCCTCCTCTCCTGGACATTACCTTCTACTGGGAGTGGGGGGCTGTGATAAACTGATAGATACAGGACATGGCAGACAGTGAGATGCTCTATGGAGGAAAGTAAAGCAGGTGAGATGACGTGACGTGGGATGAGGGACCGGTATTTCCGATATGGTTGTCAGGAAAGTCCTCTGTAGTGGGGTAACATTTTAGCAGAGACCCAAATTTATCAAGCATATCAGACTCTGTCCTAAGCTGCTCAGACTAAAGTGAGGAATGGGGAGAAGAACCCACTAAGCCCCCCACCTTACCTGCTGAGATGTCTTCTTGAAACTCTTGGGGACCCCTGAGCACAAGGTGAATTTGCACTGCTCTAAACTCTGCTGCTTTATCAAAACAACCCGAGGAATAGTTTCCCCAGCAAATTTTCCCCAGCAACCTTGCTCTTACCTGTGACTCTCAGTACCTCTGGCCTCCTCTCCACTCTTTTATCCTATACCCCTCTCCCGCTAATGGGTCCCCCTGGCAGGATTCCTGAGAGGGCTTATGGATGAGAGCACTGTGATGTGGAAGAGCTTTGCAAATGTGGGTGAGGACAGTGGATGTGCGGCAAGGGCTTCTAGCCTTTCAGAAAAAGCCATGTTTAAGGAATGTTCCTTTAAACACCAGCAACTCTGTAGGATTTGTTTTAGGATTCAAGCAGAGCTAGCTCTCTTACGGGAAGTAATTTAATCCCATACTGTTTTAAAGGACTTTTGTGGTCTATGGACCCTTATTAAAGTATAGCTCCCTCTAAATAGATTAAAATGTGGCCGTCAGTTCCTTTTCCCTGGGGAGGGGTCAGTTGGAAGGCTTTCTAAACAATGCAGTGCAACCCCCAGGGTAGGGGTTCCAGTAAAGGGGAGGAAGCCAGGAACAGGACTATGTTAAGATCTGCTCTGCTAAATCTTTTTTTTGTTTTTTTTTCTGTGACCATATGACTCCTCCTGAGGTTTGCCAATCTGTCTACCAATCTTCTGCAGGGACTCACTTGCAGAGTTTCCAAGACCATGAACATCAAACCTGGGAACTGCTATTCCCCATTATGATGTGCAGGTTTGTTAGGGGCTCTAAGGAGGGAGGGAAAAATAGGGAATGCACTAATTTTTCAGGAATTTATTTATTATATTGTTCACTGAGGAAAAATCATGGAAATTAAAGATATTTAAATAATATTTAAAAAGGAAGGGTAATGATGAAAAGAAGGAAGGGAGGGAGGGAGGAAAGATGAAAGAAAATTAATCATATTCTTTTTTTTATGTTATGTCAATCACCATACATTACATCATTAGTTGCTGATGTAGTGTTCCATGATTCATTATTTGCGTATAACACCCAGTGCTCAATGCAGAACGTGCCCTCCTTAATACCCATCACCAGGCTAACCCATCCCCTCACCCCCTCCCCTCTAGAACCCTCAGTTTGTTTTTCAGAGTCCATTGTCTCTCATGGTTCATCTCCCCCTCCGATTCCCCCCCCACTTCATTCTTCCCCTCCTGCTATCTTCTTCTTCTTCTTCTTCTTCTTCTTCTTCTTCTTCTTCTTTTTAACATTTAATGCATTATTTGTTTCCGAGGTACAGATCTGTGATTCAACAGTCTTGCACAATTCACAGTGCTCACCATAGCACATACCCTCCCCAATGTCTATCACCCAGCCACCCCATTCTTCCCACCCCCCACCACTCCAGCAACCCTCCGTTTGTTTCCTGAGATTAAGAATTCCTCATATCAGTGAGGTCATGTGATACATGTCTTTCTCTGATTGACTTATTTCGCTCAGCATAACACTCTCCAGTTCCATCCATGTCGTTGCAAATGGCAAGATCTCATTCCTTTTGATGGCTGCATAAATTTCATTGTATATATATACCACTTGTATATATATACTACTTCTTCTTTATCCATTCATCTGTCGATGGACATCTTGGCTCTTTTCAGTTTGGCTATTGTGGACATTGCTGCTATAAATATTGGGGTGCACATACCCATTCGGATCCCTACATTTGTATCTTTGTGGTAAATACCCAGTAGTGCAATTGCTGGATTGTATGGTGGCTCTATTTTCAACTTTTTGAGGAACCTCCATTCTGTTTTCCAGAGTGGCTGCACCAGCTTGCATTCCCACCAGCAGTGTAGGAGGGTTCCCCTTACTCTGCATCCCCCCCAACATCTGTCGTTTCCTGACTTGTTAATTTTAGCCATTCTGACTAGTGTGAGGTGGTATCTCATTGAAGTTTTGATTCGGATTTCCCTGATGCCAAGCGATGGTGAGCACTTTTTCATGTGTCTGTTGGCCATTTGGATGTCTTCTTTGGAAAAATGTCTGTTCATGTCTTATGCCCATTTCTTGATTGGATTATTTGTTCTTTGGGTGTTGAGTTTAAGAAGTTCTTTATAGATTTTGGATACTAGCCCTTTATCTGATATGTCATTTGCAAGTATTTTCTCCCATTGTATCGGTTGTCTTTGGGTTTTGTGGACTCTTTCTTTTGCTGTGCAAAAGCTTTTTATCTTGATGAAGTCCCAATAGTTCATTTTTGCCCTTGCTTCCCTTGCCTTTGGCGATGTTTCTAGGAAGAAGTTGCTGCGGCCGAGGTCGAAGAGGTTGCTGCCTGTGTTCTCCTTTAGGCTTCTGATGGACTCCTGTCTCACATCTAGGTCTTTCAACCATTTGGAGTCTATATGTGTGTGTGGTGTAAGGAAATGGTCCAGTTTCACTCTTCTGCATGTGGCTGTCCAATTTTCCCAACACCATTTGTTGAAGAGACTGTCTTTTTTCCATTGGACCTTCTTTCCTACTTTGTCAAAGATGAGTTGACCATAGAGTTGAGGGTCCATTTCTGGGCTCTCTATTCTGTTCCATCGATCTATGTGTCTGTTTTTGTGCCAGTACCATACTGTCTTGATGATGACAGCTTTGTAATAGAGCTGGAAGTCTGGAATTGTGATACCGCCAGCTTTGCTTTTCTTGTTCAACATTCCTCTGGCTATTCGGGGTCTTTTCTGGTTCCATACAATTTTAGGATTATTTGTTCCATTTCTTTGAAAAAAGTGGATGGTAGTTTGATGGGGATTGCATTGAATGTGTAGATTGCTCTAGGTAGTATTGACATCTTCACAATATTTGTTCTTCCAGTCCATGAGCATGGAACGTTTTTCCATTTCCTTGTGTCTTTCTCAATTTCTTTCATGAGTATTTTATAGTTTTCTGAGTACAGATGCTTTGCCTCTTTGGTTAGATTTATTCCTAGGTATCTCATGGTTTTGGGTGCAATTGTAAATGGGATCAACTTCTTAATTTCTCTTTCTTCTGTCTTGTTGTTGGTGTATAGGAATGCCACTGATTTCTGTGCATTGATTTTATATCCTGCCACTTTACTGAATTCCTGTATGAGTTCTAGCAGTTTTGGGGTGGAGTCTTTTGGGTTTTCCACATACAGTATCATATCATCTGCAAAGAGTGAGAGTTTGACTTCTTCTTTGCCGATTTGGATGCCTTTGATTTCTTTTTGTTGTCTGATTGCTGTGGCTAGGACTTCTAATACTATGTTGAATAGCAGTGGTGATAGTGGACATCCCTGCCGCGTTCCTGACCTTAGGGGAAAAGCTGAGAGCTTTTCCCCATTGAGAATGATATTGGCTGTGGGTTTTTCATAGATGGCTTTTATGATATTGAGGTATGTACCCTCTATCCCTATACTCTGAAGAGTTTTGATGAAGAATTTTAATGACTATATAGTAGTAGATTGTATGGTTCCACTACTCTATACCTTTTGTTGGTCATTGGATGATTTCCAAAACTTTCACTAGTAAAAACAACAAGCAAGATGTCTTAGCTAAAATTTTGCTCTTTTCTATATTATTTCATTGGGCCAAATTCCAAGAAATAGAATTTGTGTCTATGGTTATGTGCATGGGTATATGTATCTGAAGTATAACAACTTATACTCTATTCAGTGTTATTTCTAATTGGCTGCTTCTCCCTCCCCCTGACTACTATAAATACCTTTTTAAAAATATCTTCCTTCATTCTCATACAGTTCTGTGACATAAGCTGTTATCATCCCTGTTAAGACAAATGAAGGCACTGACTCTGGAAAACAGTATGGAGGTTCCTCAAACAGTTGAAATTAGAGCTACTGTTCGATCCAGCAATTGCACTACTGGGTATTTACCACAAAGATACAAATGTAGGGACCCGAAGGGGTACGTGTACCCCAATGTTTATAGCAGCAATGTCCACAATAGCCAAACTGTGGAAAGAGCCAAGATGCCCATCGACAGATGAATGGATAAAGAAGAGGTGGTATATATACACAATGGAATATTATGCAGCCATCAAACGGAATGAGATCTTGCCATTTGCAACGACGTGGATGGAACTGGAGGGTGTTATGCTGAGTGAAATAAGTCAATCAGAGAAAGACATGTATCACATGACCTCACTGATATGAGGAATTCTTAATCTCAGGCAACAAACTGAGTGTTACTGGAGTGGTTGGGGGTGGGAGGGATGGGGTGGCTGGGTGATAGACATTGGGGAGGGTATGTGCTACGGTGAGCGCTGTGAATTGTGCAAGACTGTTGAATCACAGATCTGTACTTCTGAAACAAATAACGCAACATATTTTAAGAAAAAAGGAAAAGAAGAAGATAACAGGAGAGGAAGAAAAGGGGAGTATGTCAGAGGGGGAGACGAACCATGAGAGATGATGGACTCTGAAAAACAAACTGAGGGTTCTAGAGGGGAGGGGGGAGGGGGATGGGTTATCCTGGTGATGGGTATTGAGGAGGGCACGTTCTGCATGGAGCACTGGGTGTTATGAACAAACAATGAATCATGGAACACTGCACCAAAAACTAATGATGTAATATATGGTGATTAACATAACAATAAAAAATTAAAAAAAAAAGGAAACGGAAAAAAAAAAAGACAAATGAAGGCACTGAAACATAGAGCTCAGGCAGCTCAAAGTCAACTGGTAGGGTAGCAGGGCATACTTTGAGTTTTGATCTGTCTGTTGTTCAAGTTCATGGCCCTCAAAGATAATGAGGCTTTTACAGCAGGCTCTTATATTTACTGAGCTCCTACAGACAGAAGATTCTTCCCAAGCTTTACCTCATCCATCCCAGACAGATGGATTAGAAGTTGAGGTGTAAAAGTCTTTACTCTCCTTGGTTTCTGGTTCTTGTTTTCAGTTACCACTGGAACAAGAGGGTCTTCCATCAGACCAGCTCAGCTCTTCACTCCAGCCACCTCCTGTTATGCAGAATCTTCTTCCTATCTGCTTCCTCCTTCAGGTCTTAGACGACAAGGGCAAGGTCTTGCCCCCTGGCACGGAGGGAGACTTGGGCATCTGGGTAAAGCCCATCAGGCCTACAGGAATCTTCTCTGGCTATGTGGTGAGGAACCCACTCCTCCCCTCTGTTCCTTGTGCGGAAAGTGGACTCTGAGAGGGATGGTGGGGGGCAAAGATATGTACTTCCCAAGAGGTAAACCATGACAGGACGTGGGACAAGGGGTGTCCCGTGTCCAAGAATGGGCACTTTGCAGAGAGAAAAAACTGGGTATTCATCCCTGCCATCCTTAACCTACCCCTAAGATTCCTTTTGAAGAATGAATCTTTCTCCCATTACCCTTTTCCACCCTGCCCCAAAAACTGTTTCATGCCAAAAAAATTTATTGCCCCCAAACTACATACAGCAATACTTTCCCAAGGGCAGCTCTGCCCCTCTCCAAGTATCTCTCCCCTACTCTATGTCATCAATTTCCTTTAGAGCCATGCTAGACATGACATTGAGACTTAACCATATAGTTGAAAGCATCCCTATCTTCAAACCTTGGAATGTTAGAAATAGATGATCCTTATGTCCAACTACCTTGCTGTACAGGTGAGGATGGATGGTGAAATCAGAGACTATAAGAGTTAGCCAAGACCACTACTATTGGAAAAATGGAGAGGGAAGACCTCAAACACATACCTTCTGATACTAACATGATGAAATAATCACTTAAATAACAAATGCAATACTAATAGTCGCTGCCATTTCCTGTGTGCTTACTACAAGGTAATGCCCTAGAACATAGGTGAATAAATGCATCAATATTATCCATCAGACTGGACCCTGGGGAGTAGATAAGAGACACTGGGTACAATAATTGAAATAAAGGAGAAAGTTCCAGGTCCATCTGAGGGCTGAGGTTGGCAGGTCCAGGGCAAGATTATCATGTGAAGTTGTTTAATCTACACATCTGTTCATGCCAGCCCTGGGGCAGAGGAGTTCAGCTTTGCAGTTACAGTGACTATGACTTACTGTGGTCACTAGGACAATCTTGAGAAGACAGCAGCCAACATTCGAGGAGATTTTTGGATCCTTGGAGATCGGGCAATCAAGGATCAAGATGGCTATTTCCAGTACCTAGGGCGGGCAGATGACATCATTAACTCCAGCGGGTGAGCTTGGTTTCTGGGCTGGGAAGGGTAACCCGGATCTTTATTCTGGCTGGCTCTGAACTTCTGGGCTGGCCTAGAGGTTGCGTGTCCAGTGTTCTCTGAAGGACAGGCTCTTCTGCAGGTACTGGATTGGGCCTTCAGAGGTGGAGAATGCACTGATGGAACATCCTGCTGTGGTTGAGACAGCTGTAATCAGCAGCCCGGACCCTGTCCGAGGAGAGGTGACATGGGAGCAGCAGCCTGGAGTTGCAAGGGTGGGAGGTGGGATGTGCAGATTTTGGACACAAGGGCACATTGCATGGTGGTTAAGATCATGGAATCTGGGGGTTGGAAAGCCCTGCCACTTACCAGCGATGTGACCTTGGACAAGTTACTCAACCTCTTTGAGCCTCAGTTTCCCATCTGTAAGATGAAGTGTTATTGTGAGAATTGAATGTGTTAATATTCATAAAGTGCTTGCAACAAGGACTGGCACATAGCAAGCACCATATGTGGTCTATTATTATGAGGCCACAGGGATTCCTTCCATTCTGCTGGTTGGCATTTGAATCAGAATTTGATTCCTGACCAGAATAGAGGAGGGATTTGAGGCAAGAGATAGAGCTCCTTAGCCATGGGCTTTACAATGAGAATATAAGGAAGAAGAAAGACCTCTTTAATGCTAGGGTTATGGAAACAGGCCCAGATGGAGTCCAACAGAACTTGGTATATGTGTAGAGAAAGGTAAGGTACAGAGGTGTGGGTTAATGTCCAAGTACATTTTGACAGGGTACAAGTTGAATAACATCCTATCTCTGGCAGGTATGGGCCATATCAGCATGGAAATCACAGGAGCCACTAGGCAAGGGAGGCCCAAAGGGATCCCCTATTGAAAATCCCTCTGTGCCAAGTGCTTAGCTAAGGCTTGCTATATATGATTTCATTTTATTTCCCATGAATTAAGTATGACAATTGGATCACCCTTTTATAGATGTACAAACTGTAGTTTGGATTGGTTAAACAAATCATTTAGATTTATGACCCCAGTCTTTATTTTTTGCTCTTCTCTTATAAGGAGTTTCTCCCTATCACTCTCTATTATCCCTGGATATGAGGTGGGAATGCTTTCAATTTACAGTCCTACCTGCCCATCCAATAAGCCACTTGAGAGAGAGCTGGGACCTTAGCCATTGTTATCGCTACTGTCTCCCTTTCTCTTACCTAGGTATATGGAGGCAAAGTTAAGGAGATATAAAGGGGGTAGCTGTGTTGGAAGCCTTAACCCTGCTTCTGCATTATTCCAGGAGATGACAACACACAGCTCTCTTCTCTCTTGGCCCTCATCTTTGCTGCAGGTGGTGAAGGCATTTGTGGTCCTGGCCCCCCAGTTTCTGTCCAATGACCCAGACCAGCTCACCAAGGAGCTGCGGCAGCATGTGAAGTCAGTAACAGCCCCATACAAGTACCCAAGGAAGGTGAGGCCTCTGAGCTCCCTTGTTCCCCCAACTTGAGGAAGGAGAGATATTTCTCTTCTTCAGGCTCTGGATAAGGCCTATAATTCCAAAGTTCTGCCTGATTATGACCATCCAGGAGCTGTCTGGAGGCTTCAAATTTTGCCTCAGCCTTTAGTTTGCTTTGAATTGAAAGTTGGGTTCTCCCATGGGAATAAGTTCTGGTCAATACCTCGCCAAATTCCTACTCTCTGCACTGGGGTCTCACTATTTTTATTCAGGATTCTTTCAGTTGTCAGCAACAGAAATCCAACACGAACTTTATTGCTTGCACAGTTGTCCAGGGGTGGGGGCAGCTTTAGTTGTGGCTGGTACCAGGCATTCAAATGATGTAGTCAGGGATGCTTCTTTCACCCCTTGAACTTCTTTCTGTATTGTCTTCATTTCTTAAAATGTTCCCCCTTTGTAATGGCCACCAGCAGTTCCAAACACAGGTTTTTAGCAATTTAGTAAATCACAGTAATAAAAGAGCATCTTTTCCCCCAAAGTCACCAGCAGAAGATTGATTCTCATTGGACCAGTTTAGGTCATGGGCCCATCATTAAATAATCCCTAGAACCAGGGTGATGGAACATTCTGATTGGCCAGTTCTGGGTCATGTGCAGGAAAGACAGAGAGAAGACTGCCCTATACCTATGATATGGACTGAAGGGGAAAAGCGTGGCTTCCCACAGGAAAATGGAAGTGCTCTTACCAGAAAAGGCAAAAAGCATAGAATCTGCTCTACCTGTTTTTGCTCTGGGGCAGGGAACTAAGGCATGGAAGTTGACACTGAAGGGGGACCCAGTTTTTGGAAGTGGGTACAAGATAGGAGCTTGCCCCAGGGGAAAGGAAAAAAATATATATTTCTGAGTCTCGGGTAGAGATGAGGGCAACTATGTTAAGCCTAAAGCTACTGAGATGTGTACAGAACCCAGAAGTTCATTGATGCTTTGTTAGCACAGGTTAATTGTCATAGATGGATTTTCTGAGAAACAGACTCTAGGAGGGAGATTAACATACAAGAGGTTTATTAGGGAGTGCTTTGGGATCAACAACTGGGGAAAGAAAGAGAAGGGAAGGGAAGAGAGGGGGCAGGATTGGGCAGAAGGTGAAGGTGCACTGTGATATAGTCTCACTAGGGGGCTTCGGCCAACCCCATGGGGAGTTCTGCAGTTCGGACAAACTTTCAGAGTTTCCTGAGCTACAGGCAAGGTTGGGAGGGTGCTTTGTAGCCCCATGTCGATCAGGCTTGGATGCAGGCTGTGCTGGGATGGGGATGCGGCCCTGGGAAGGGCAGGTCTCCTTGGCTGCAGCAATCTGGCAGTGGGGGGGGGGCGGGGGGGGGGGGGGGGGGGAGGGTTAAATCATTCTTGCAGGGGGCTCTGCGCAGCACATCAGAGTCCACCACACGGACTTTCAGCCTCAAACTCATAGTAAGGCAGTCAGTATAGCACAGTCTCTGGAATTAGACAGTTGCATTCCAAATTCATCCTCATCACTTACTTAACAATCTCTCTGTGCCTCAGTTTCCTTATCTGTGAAATAGGGAAAATGGTGTTACCCCTTTCCAGGTTGTTACTAAGAAGAGTTAATAATATTTTTAAGACATAAGGCACTCAGAAGACTAGCATATAATAAGCATTTAATAAGTACTTTAAAGGGAAACTAGAACTCTAATCACCCAAAATATTATGAATTTTGAGTTGTAACTGAATATTTTGGAGGACCCAGTGGATCCACAGTATAACATTATATTACTCAGTAGATGTGTCTCTTTTTAAAAGTCTCTCCCCTAGAATGCTTTGGGCAGCATTTTTTCTATCTCTTCCCTCCTTCCTGAGACCAAACACTTCCTAGATCTCCTCTGTGGCTTCTCTTTACCCTCTATCTACACCCTTTACCCTCTATCTACTCAGTTCGACCTTGTGGTGCTGAAGCATCCGGAGACCATTGGGAATGAATGAATGTAGCTGTGTTGAAATAAAACTTCCTTTACAAACATAGGAGGAGGGCTGGATTTTGCCCCCAGGTTACAGTTTGCCAATCCCTGCTCCATTCCACTGTGATTTTTAACAAACCTGTTCCTCATCAAAGTCCAGTCTTGCCTGTGGAAGACCCCCACATCAGCTTTTAAGAAGATAACTTTTTCTATATTGGTATCCCTATTATTATCATTTTTATCAAACCCATGACCTTCTGACTCCTAGACCAATGCCCTGGCAAGCCAAGCCTTCTAACAGGAAGTCTCAGTGAACTGTCTTCATCGTCCATATCTTAGGATTCAGGAATATTAGAGATGGAGGGGTCCTCAACGTCAAACATTTTTTCCCCACAGATATGAAAAATGAAATTGGAGAGATTTTATAGTTCTGCCAACAGGAAATGACTGAGCTGGAATTCAAGAGTTTCCTAACTCTTAAACATGTACTGTCTGTAGTCCAGGTTAATAACCACAGCTAATATTTTTGAGTGTTTACCCATCAAGAATTTAGCCTGCATAATTTCATTTTATCCTCAAATAACCCAACAAAGTTGTTGCTGCCCTCCAGTTAACTCAGTGGGGAAACTGTCTCAGAAAAGCCAAGTGACCTGTCCAAAGCCAGGCAGGTGGTAGAGGAGAGACTGCAGCCCAAGGAGTCTGATGTCAAAGCTCAGGTGTCTGAGGACTGCGTCAAGTCATGTTTACTGTGCTGCTTCTCCCCTGTCCTAGGGTATGTCAAACACCATTGATTAGACCTTTAGCCATTCTCTTCTTGCCTTGGTCCCAGAGCACTTTCCAAAGCTTCTTACTGCCTAGGGGTTGCCCTGGGAGTATTCCAGGCTCAGTGCTCACTTACCCAGAGCCTCTGCCTCAAGAGCTTTTTCTCACCCTATAGCAGTGCTTCTGAAAAATCCAACCCCACTGAGGTTAGAGATGGCCCACCCTGGACTAACTTTTCCCAACAGGTGCAGTTTGTCTCAGAACTGCCCAAGACTGTCACGGGGAAAATCCAGCGGAAGAAGCTTCAAGACAAGGAGTGGAAGACATCTAGGCAAGGTGTGGCCCCGTGACACCTGCATGGGCATCCCTTTGGGTGCTGTACTTCTACTTACTTCCATTTCCCTTTGGGCCTTCTGCCTTCCTCTGGGGATATGAGGTTCCTTATGACGAGACAACTGATTTTTGTCTTTCCCTGGTTATTAGCACAAAATCTTGCCATATTAGATGTTGAAAGAAGAAAGGGAGGGAATGAAAAAGAGGAAAGGAGAAGGAAAGAGAGAAAAAAGAAAGAAAAATTAGAGAAAGAATGAAACAGCAAAAGAAAGCCATTAGGAAAGAAAAGGAGGGAGGGCAGGAAGGCGGGATGGAGGGATGGAAGAAAGAAAATTGGAGGAAGGGAGAGAAAGAGAAGAAGGAAGGGAAGGAGGGAGGAAATAAAAATCAGTAAAAATAGTAAGAGAGACTGATAAAGAAAAATGATGGAAAACAGGAGAAGGGGGAGCAACTAATGATTACTTCTACAGATAGATAAACAGACAGTGGCAGAGTCCAGCAGAATCCTGGATCTTAGGAAGGAAATGAAAGGTCAAGACACTCCATCTCACCCCTGGACAGGCCTCCATACAGACAGACTTGCACACGCAGTTAGGACATTGGAGGCCTCCCCAAGTCACCCCAAATCTCGGGATAGTCATGACCAGAGGAGGGGAAATAAATACTATCATGTTTCACCTCTGTGTGGCATCTATAAACCTCAGAACATAGGTGTGAGAACAGTATAGGGACCTCAAATAAAGTGTCCCTTCCCCATGGATCATGTTTGTGGTAGTATCTACTCTTCCTATAATCAAGTAATAAAATCATTTTTAAATCAAGACCATGGGGATTATCTTTGGAGAAAGTAAAGAAGGGGAGGGTGGCATTGAATGATGAGCCACAAACTTTGTTCCTGGGGCCTCTGGGGGCTTCATTTCCAACCCAGGGATGGAGGATGAATCTTCCTAGCAGGTTCAAGTGAGCTGGAGAAAGCAAAGGATCTCTGAGGGTCTAGGCCCTTCTCCATCAGAATACTTAGTAATAATAGCAACAACAATAATAAGAATATCAATCATTTATCAAGCTCTTGCCAAGTATCAGGCACTATGCCAAACAAATATATATATTGATTAATGTTCACAGTCACCCCTTGATTCAGGTACTCTTATTTTTCCCATTTTCCAGAGGAGAAGACAAAGACTTGGAGAGATTAAGTGATATTCCCCAAAGCCACGTAGCTAGTAAATGACAGCTACAGGTTCAAACCTAGACCCATTTGCCTACAACACCTATGCATCCTTTCCTTTCACTTGCCTTCTCTTCCAGCCCCTGACAAATACCCACTAGGCACGTGATCTGATGAGCACTGGGTGTTAGACTCAACTAATGAATCATTGAACAGTACATCAAAAACTAATGATGTGCTATATGTTGGCTAATTGAACTTAATTTTAAAAAAATGAAAAAAAAATACCCACTAGAATGTGTACATCCTGTGATATACTCCTCCTGGAATCCACTGGACGACACCAGAGTTTTATGTTCGGCCTAGTAGAGAAACACAGTCTGCTAATCAAATAGCAAAACTTTGTCTTTCTCAGTCTGGATTTATCTCTGTTTAAGGGAGCATCATTTAACTGACAGCTTCCAAAAATTTAAAATCGAGCGGATAGTTCATTTTGACACTTTATCATTTTTTATCATGTCCCCTTCCTCCATGCCCAGCTCATAGGCTCAGAAATGATTCATGATGGGAACCTGTATCTTTAGGGGAAATGTATGACCTACCCAAAGTATACCATCTGACTCTCCTCCCTCCACTCCATCCCCTTCTCCAGACAGCTTGTATAAAGTAATCATAATATTTAGACAGTCCTTTTCACAAAGATTGGCTTCCTGTGACTATAATGAAATCATCGAATATGGTCTTTTTCAGGACGAGATAAAGATAGACCACCTTATCCTTCCTATGTTATCTAGCAAAAGCCTGTAAGATACCCCAGTAACCCTGAGAACCAAGAAGTAAGGGTTACCAAGTCCCAGTGGTCCAGTATGGGATGTGTACAACTTCCCTGGGCAATCATTAGCTCTAGGGAGATCCCTAGACTAACCAATTTGTGTGTGTGTTGATGGCATAAGGTGCCCTAGGCTTGCTGCCATTATTTGTATATGGAAGGAGGAACTTAGCCTGGGAAGGGACACTCACTATTATTTCAACATCAGGTTCAAATTCTGAAGTGATAAAAGGAGGATTATTATAACACATGCATAAATGGTTTGGACTTCATCTGAAGAGTAACAGTGCATTTCTAAATGATTACTTTAGTAGCTGAAAGGTGAATACATTAGAAGAGAATTTGAGAAATTCTTTTTCCTTTTAATATTTATTTATTTATGTAATCTTTATACCCAACGTGGGACTTGAACTCATTCCGCTGAGATCAAGAGTCACATGCTCTTCTGACTGAGCCAGCCAAGTGCCCCAAATTTGAGAAATTCCTAGAAGAGGAAATTCTACTTCTTAGAACTTTGTGACTTAGTGACTAAATAAGGCAGGTGGGGTTAAGGGAGAAGAGGCACTTAAGGATGATGTCTAGGTTTTTGATCAATTACACTGGGTAGGTGATTATAACACTTTCCAAGAGAAACAGGTTTGAGGTGGGAATATTGAATTCAGTTGTGGTCATGTTAATATAGGTCATAACAAGGCTGGCATATATTGAGAGAGAAGACTCAGAAAAGACAAGGTATGGGGCACCTGGGTGGCTCAGTCATTAAGCATCTGCCTTCAGCTCAGGTCATGATCCTGGAGTCCCAAGATCGAGTCCCGCATCGGGCTCCCTGCTCGGCGGGGAGTCTCCTCCTCCCTCTGACCACCCCCCCTCATGCTCCCTCTCTCTATGTCATTCTCTCTCTCAAGTAAATAAATAAAATCTTAAAAAAATTAAAAAAAAGAAAAGACAAGGTGTGATAACGGAAAGAAGAGAGCAATTAAAGAGTTCATTAACATTGCCCAGAATGGCCAAGGGTCAGAACTGGAAGCAAGAACATTAGAAAACTTACTTCCAGAAAGAAACCCCAAACAAAACAACAGTTTCAATGAGTAAATCAGGGGAGAAAAAGTAGCTATGGGTTATGACATATAGAAAAGATGGTAACAGGGCGCCTGGGTGACTCAGTCGTCAAGCATCTGCCTTTGGCTCAGGTCATGATCCGAGGGTCCTGGGATTGAGTCCCACATCAGGCTCCCTGCTCAGCAGGAGACCAGCTTCTCCCTCTCCCACTCTCCCTGCTTGTGTTCCTGCTCTCGCTGTGTCTCTCTCTGTCAAATAAATAAATAAAATCTTAAAAAAAAAAGAAGGTAACAGCTAATGTAGTCTACTCTGTCCAATAACCATTAACTGGGAGAGGAAGGGACAGAAGAAAATACATAATCAAGGAGGCAACTTTTGGAGGAGGGAGGCACTTGAACAAGTGTGGTGAACATTGCTTTTCTCCTGTTGTTATGGCCTGAATTGTATCCCCCCAATTTCATATGTTGAAAGCCTAACCCCTGGTACCTCAGAATGCGACTGTATTTGGAGGTAAGGTGTTCAAAGAGGCAATTAAGTTAAAATGAGGTTATTAGAGTGGGCCTCATCCAAACTGACCGGCATACTTAAAAGAAGAGCAGTTGAGGACCCACAGAAAGACACCAGGGGTGCATTGCACAGATGGATGACGTGAAGAAGTATAGCAAGAGGATGGTTATCTGCAAGCCAAGAGGAAACCAACCCTGCCAGCATCATGATCTTGGACTTCCAGCCTCCAGAATTGTGAGAAAATAAATGTCTGTTGTCTAAACCACCCAGTGTGTGGTGTTTTGTTACAGCAGCCCTAGCGGACTAATACACCCACTCAGTGGCCTTCCCCACAGTCACCTCTACACCACCCTTGTTCCTTGCTAAAGGAATTCTGATTTTGTCCAGAACCAGAATGAGCTCACCCTTCCCATTTCCCTTCCATTGAGTCAATTAGAAATTCTCAGTTTGTGACTTCTAGGTCCTCTGCTCCTCTGTGGTAGAGTAGATTTGTTTTCTAGCAAATATTTGCTCTCTACTCGCCCCCTCCCCCATACACACCCTCCTACAGGGAGGAATATGGTTCTCTGCTCCTTGCTGTTGAGCTTCGTCTGTGGCTTGTTTTGGCCAATAGAATGTTTTTTGTGTGCTTTTTTTTAAGATTTTATTTATTTATTTGACAGATAGCACAAGTAGGCAGAGTGGCAGGCAGAGGGAGAGGGAGAAGCAGGCTCTCCGCTGCGCAGGGAGCCTGATGCAGGGCTTGATCCCAGGACCCTGGGATCATGACCTGAGCCGAAGGCAGATGCTTAACCGACTGAGCCACCCAGGTGCCCCTGGCCAATAGAATCTTAACAGAGATGATGCAAACAGAAGTTTTAAATGTACTTACAGGGTTTGGCTTGATTTTGGGTGCCTCTGCTGACCACTATGGAAAGAGCCACTAGTCTGAGATTCGTGAGAGAGAAATGTATGTTAAATAAATGTGTGCCACTGTTTGTTATGCAATACTATCATAGCAATGAACAACTGATCAAACCTTAATTTCCCTTTTTTAACAAAAAGAGAACAAGACTGGTCTCAAGTATTTGGCAGGGAACTCTATTGTAAATGGGGTTTAATAACAGCAACAATTTTTGCTTTCTCTGTATTCATTTTTAGTTTCTTCCTCGTGACAAGTAAAATAATTGCTTAATTAGGGACGCCTGGGTGGCTCAGTCGGTTAAGCCACTACCTTTGGCTCAGGTCACTATCCCAGGGTCCTGGGATCAAGCCCCACATCGGGCTCCCTGCTCAGCAGGAGGCCTGCTTCTCCCCCTGCTTTCCGTTCCCCCTGCTTGCTCAGCCTCTCTTTCTCTCACTGTGACAAATAAATAAAAATCTTTAAAAAAATAATGATTGCTTAATTACAGTAGTTGTACGGAGCTTCATTTGGACTGCCATGGGTTTTTGTTGTTTTATTTAGCATTTTAAGG